TTACTGCTGTTAGAAATCATATTGGAGGATTTTGAGGGTTATAACCCATGTTCATGATTGATCCAGATGAAACAGTGACATCTCGATCCTCAGTGCAATAACCTTCCATAAAACCTTAATTTTCAACCGATATAAAGTTGAATTTAAATTGGACCATAAACAGCGTTTTCAGCCGAAGGCAGACAATTTAAATTATAATAGGAGATAGGAATGTACATGCAAGTCAATTCAATTTATCGTTTGATCTCGACTCAATAAGGCATGAAATTTGAGCGACAGTTCGAGTGCTGTTGGAACATAGCAATGTCATTAGAAACGTGACGTTTCATAACGATGGAGTCCTGTAAGTTTGCCGTGATTTGTTTGTGATATTTTCCCGTCTTCGTCTTCTGAATGCTCTCTTTCATGCCACGCTTCCATTTCATGCGTCGGTTCTGAAACCAAATCTTAATCTGATTTTCAGTTAACTTAAGATCGTTGGAAATTTCCAGCCTCCGTGCCCTAGTCAGATATTTGTTAAAGTGGAACTCTTTCTCAAGTTCGACCAATTGCTTCTGCGTGAAGGTAAAACGCCGTTTGTGGCTGTCTGGATCCTCTTTAGTTTCCGTTGGTTCGCTTGCTTTGGCGGGTTTTGAATTCACGTTACCTAAGAAGGTGAAAAAAATATTAAATAAAAATGTTAATTTAAATATAGTTCAACTGCGTACGCATGCGTATATGCGATGTCTTGAACTACTTTTGTTTAGATAACCAGGGAGCAGCGTGGCAGCGTCTTTAAAATATAGCCTATCAACCGTGCATGCATGGGGTGATGATATAAAAAAGTCTCGACGTTTCGAAGTTTGAAGAGACTTCGTTGCCGATTATTTTGAAACTTTGAGAAGTTTCTTGTTGAACTTTTTTTCACGTTTCGGCCTATATTGATTTGTTGCTATATTCTTAGACAGAAGATTGATAAAGGTAGATCTAAAATTATAATTTGAACCAGATGACTTGATAACCTGAATATTTTCCTGTGGATAATTTCCTATTTCAATTGGTCGCGGTCCCCGGCCAACTTTGCTATAAATCTAACAACTATAATATAACTTCTGCGATTCTCCTAATGCATAGTAGCACTTTATATATATATATATATATATATATATATATATATATATATTCAATTTTTGTATGCTTCGGTTGTTCTCACGAGAATAGAAGCAGATGCATATGTCATGCTCGAGTGCGAGGTTTATAAACCCTGAAGCCATGACATGCATGCAGGCGATGCATAAATGAATCAATTTTTTATCTATTTTTCTATACAGGAAGCAAAAAATCTGTTTGGTAAATATGAAAAAGCTTTGGACATTGTATCTATATACAATCAGTTTCGGCCTCAAATTGCCTCAAATCGGCTGTCAAACGATTCATGGCACCGATGACGGCGATGAGATTTTAAAATGTGATTTATTCACTGATTATATATCCTGTCCGCGAAACGATGTTATATAAAATGTTTTCATGTAAACTCCCGATCGAATGTGTTCAGAAATTAATATGAAGATTTCTGTCAGATTTTGCTGTCGTATATATCTGTGTCGATATATTTGCCGACAAATATTTCGTAATTCGTACTGATCCAATCTTTGTAAGCAAATTTTTTTTTATCACGTTTAAAGCATGCATGCATTTATTACTTTGTTGTTACTTTTTGAAGCATTGTATACTGTATACAAGTATAACCCAGATGCAATGCGTTGAGAGGCCTAATGAATAAAAGTTAAATATCCATAATGATCGAAATCCGTAGCAAAACAGATGTTATATACACAAAGTAAAGTTTAAAACTAAGGTTGTGAGAATTCTTACTGTCGGAGAACCGAAGTCTTCTATTTAGGGTGATATAGCACTTTGATTTATGGTATAAGTAATCCAACAACATGCATTATTGCATGCATGGGCTTGCCGGATTGGGATTTTTGAAATAATCATGTGCAGTTTTTCAAAGGTGCATCACTCGTGAAACTTCTTTGTATATGCATGTATTCTATGTAGTTTCAGTCGCAATCAGAAAATGAAAATTTTTAGTAGGCCCGCGCATTAATTACCCGTGAATCAGCCGGTGTATTCTTCATGTATGAATCCATATTCACTGAACGTCTTTTTCAAAATCAGTATATGGGTGTAGCATCATTAATTTCCATAATATATCCATATGGAAATGGCAATTGCAGTGCCGGAATATCATAAATAGTTCTATTATACCGACTATTTCCATGCAACTGGCCGGCATATCGGCCATACTATATTTCCCCGGTTTGTCAGCACGGCAGTAAAACAGGGATAAAACCCATATGCCTCTAGACATATTTAGTGATTCTTGGCCACTATGTTATTATAGCCGTGAACAACAGCTAAATAGGAAACAAAGAATGCCAGTCTGGTCTTCATTTCTTTCTTTTAGCGTGATTTACATATCGTGTTACAAGCACCTGCATGTATATAACATGCAGACTGCCTTCAAATTCTTCTAAATAATTCTTCTAAATTAGCTAGCATATATGAACTTAAATGTTCTATGAAATGAAAGGATCCGTTTCAGGTGTCAAAGTAAAGTAAACGTGTTAATTCTGCCTTCTTGACAATGCCCAGCCACCTGCATGAGTGTCTCAAAAGACTTCGTGGCAGTCACGTATACGAATTAAATGACAATAATTATAATATTTCGCATTTACACACTTTTCGAGTGAGCGTCTTTTATGTTGTTCTTTATGTTTTAATCGATAGGTGAATGCGTGCAAAATGCATGAACGTGAAAAATATACCGTGAACTGTTTCATCGGCGTAATCAGTTAGTTCTTAATATTATGCTACGACGTATGATGATATAGCTACTGTATATGAAGTGTTAAATGAAATCGAAGTAAAATTATGGTATAAGTTTATATGTACTAAATTTGACATGATGTCGGAAAGTGCAAATAATAGGCTGAAGCCAATGAGCGCGTCAGGTGCCAGATCGGAGCAACAAAAACCTCCAATGCAAAGTTGTTCATAATATGCCGCGGAAAGGGCGATGCGTAATTTAATAATTTCCACATAAACAGATATAATCTTGTGCAAATATACATCATTTTAAGCTGTTTAAAGTCTATAGCGATAGCAGACGTCAATGTTAAATATTGAACACCACAGGCGGCTTGTGAAAATTCGATTCGTGAAAAATCGTATTATGTGGCTATACTATATTTAAATCAAATATATATGCATGCATGCATGGCCATGATTCATGAATCTTATTGTGACAATTTAACGATAAAATCTAGCTATTGAGGATGAAGTATTTTTGTATGCCTGCATGTATATGCATGTGTCGGGAAAAGACTATTGTAGAGCGTATACGTGCACAATAGTTCGCGGTGCATTAAAAAAGGCCAATCCAGTCCTTTTCCTTTCGTTTGGCCAACGTGCATGTCTGTTGCATAGTGCATAGCCATAGTGCAGTATAGCTTCGTTTACGCTGGTTCATTATCAACTCAGTGGGACCTCCTTTATTAACAAAACAAATCTTAGTGTTGTAACACAGTATTAAAGTATTGCTGCGATAAATGTATATAGTTCACTATTTTTATTAAATCAAGTTTTTTTCGTGCGATGACAGTATATATACTACATATATTATATAGCTACATGGCTCAGTTCATGACGATAATGTCTTTAATGAAGTTAACAATCAGCTGTCGAATTCAGTTCTATCGTATTTTGACAAATCATACATAAAAGAGCAACAGATGAAAAGAAAGAACAACAATTTTCTGATGAATGAGCAGAATTTGAAAAATCTGTGCATTATTTTTCAACACGCTGTATCACACTATAATTATATATAATATTTCAATATTTCTATCTGTCGTATACTATATATATTTGAATATTCAATTTCTCTTGCATTTTTAGACTTCGCTATCTCAATAGAAATCTCAATGACTTGTTAAGAGTATAGCAACTAAAAATGTACTAATCGTATCGTAACACCACTAAATGGCGTTTATTAATACATTTATAGGCATTTGTATGTATCCGCGTTGCTAGAAATTATATTAAACTGTATCAAAGCGAGTTATTAGGTCAAGAAGCATGCATCCATCCGCTATGCATGGTCAGGTTCACATTCTTCCGACATCCCAAATATTACAGCGCAATCAAAATTCGACCTAAAATATTTACGGATAGCGCATGCAGTGTTGGCTATATATAATATAACACGTACGTAGTGGATCGATGAGGTGCAATTGCCTATTGTATCGCGAGCTCTTAACTGTGCCATGACATTCCGTTCAGAAACAATTTGGACACAATAATGTACAGTTCACCGCATTTACATTTGAAGTGCCTGGCTTGACTTTATCTCGTATGAGTTCAACACAAAATTTCATTCAATTTGTTAAATGTTCATCCTCAATATACTCGTTCGTCAACTGCATGTGACCGCTCCCGAAACTTTGGCTGCACTCAATAACGATGAAGTTCTCAGTATTTTCTATATTCAATCAATATATACTTTAGGTCTTAGCTATATGAAAGTCAATTCTCATTGTGAAGCTTATCTATACTGATTCAATTTCTAATCCTATGTATAGTAACCAAATCACTCAAGTGTGGTACGTTCATTTCACAATCTATAAATCACTGCATTCGGTGTATAGAAATCATATAGAATTCGAGTACACTTTACTTTTAGACTTCAGTAGTCAATCGTACATCGTTTTAGCCTGGCCCGGGAACGAGGTAATTCAATTTAAGTAGTCATTATTATACACTTTGTAAGAATATCAGCAAGATCGCTTGAGATGCAATACTCCTACACGAAAGGAATATATAGTATTTCTGGATCCATGTATGCATGCACTTGATACCAGAAACAGTTATTCTCTTAAAATACTCTGCTATTCCAAACGAAAGGACAATTTTCCCCTACGCGCGCAAACAATTTAATGATTGAAGATTGGAAATTAAACTCTTAACATATTGCAGGTAAATGTATAGCGTCGTCCGACTCACCTATGGAACCATTTCTTTTCGTGAACATCCAACGAAAATCTGCTGTGTTCCACCTCTTCTTCTCAGCCGTCGCTGTTTGGATTGCATTCTTACTCGATGTTTGAGTCTGAGTTGTATTCGAGGCCGGTAAAGGAATCGGATCAAGGTTTTGATTGTGGTAACTGTTGACTGGCGAAGGCGCTTGGTAATTCGGACTGGGAATCGCGGCGAAATACGAGTTATGCGTAGCATTCGGACTATAGGTTAGGGCAGAGTTTACCACAGTCCCGTTATTATTGCTAGTAGTGTTCGTGTTGCACTGCAGACTGTGCTCGGGCGGGATTGGAAGATGCCGCAACGGAGGTGCCGATTGATAGTTGTTAATGCCTTCAAACTGTGATGTAGGGGTTGTGATGGAGCTTGAGATGTATGGATGTATGCGCCGTAAGTAGTTATATCTCTATCCATCTTTAAGCGAGATCAAACGGCACACAGGCTGCCCGGCTTTGCTTCTTCGATCGATTGCGATGAGTACGGAAGAATGCTGTAAAAATCAATTCGGCCAAGAAAAGCTTCTACCAGCGGTCGCCCTTTAGCTCGAGTGATCGTGAGCTACTGAACGAGTGTGGTGCGTTGAGCGAGGCTTTTAGAAACGTTGGCATGCCAAACCGACGCGTTAGCTCTTATTGGACCACACGATTTGCGTACGGAGAGCTCATTGTTCCCAGTCAATAAACTGCAAACAATGCATTCACGAGCGGGCCGGACGCCATGCGGCGCATTCAGACAAGATATTCGCGCAATCCGCTTCACCTCACTCCAGGTAGCGTTATTTATAAACTTGCAATCTTTAACACATATTGCTTACTTTGTAAAACCTACGCAGTACAACCGTGCAAGTCTGAGCATACGAATATAAATAATCGTGGGCCTTCTATTTTGGAATGGCTCGCACAAAATGGAAGAGCGCGCGAGTTCAAAACGCGGGCAGTTTTCCACTCGCTATATCATCGTGATTTGAGAACGAGATTTCCGTGCACGCGTGCTGTGGGAATGACAGCGAGATTCACGAACACTTCTTGACAGAAATCGGAACATTTCTAAAGGAAAAATTTGTTACTGGACAATAGACACGGTTTCCTCTTGAGAGGCAAAACAATAAAAGTGGGATATGCTTGGAGGCCAATACAGCATGAGGGAAGGCGCGATATTTGCATTCCTAATCAAGGGATAACGCTGCCTTGAATACCCGATGCATTTAGCTGTTTAAGTTGCGCTATAAAAAAAAAAATGATATTTCATTGTCTTATTAAACAAGGGTTGCAAGAGCGAAAACCCAGAAATTGATGTAAATATTTATAACGATCATATATGCATGTACATACCGACTAAAAAAACTCAACGCTTTGAAAAAAAAAGATTGAATACAATTAATAATGCATCTGAATATATATATCAGCAACGTTTTAGAATCTTAATTTAAAATGTTGTTATCATGGATTGCAATTATGTACACCAGCGTTATATATAAAATAATTGCTGCAATTTCTTTGACTTCCTCGCCCGAGAGTATTGAAGATAAACCCGACAATTGATAAGTGGTTATACGCTAAAAAATGTATTTCTCGAAACAATTTCGTTCATTGAGCAGTTTAATAGATTTCTCATTACGGCGAGATCCTTATCATGATGCAATTAAATTGTATTTAAGATCCTATAAGCCTCCTTATAATATTATGTCATCACATTCAAAAGAGATTAAACAATCGAATTCGTCGCGAAAAGTCATGCAAACATGTCGCGAATTAAGGTTGATGTACAGATAAGTTTCATATACATCTATATGCAAATACATTTTTCTTTTAGCTAGCATGCATGAATTATACTTGATATTGAAGGTTTTTCGGCACAAAACAAATGTTTTATGCTTTATAGATTTCTTGCCTCACAGCGTCTGTAGAATTGTGAAAACAAGATTGCATTATATATGATAATATGTACTGCATGCATGTATAGGACTGACATGCAAGTCGGTCACTGACTGCTTACAAATATATTACTTTTCTTGCGAAGTTTCAAGCAATTATTTTAACGGTTTTACCGAGAGGAAGTGGTGAATTATGTTTCCCATCTACTGAATATTGAAGTTAAGTCTTATGATGTAGAAAACATTTTATTTTAAACTGAGAAATGATCTAGGCGAGGAAATTCACCGCGGAAAAACACGATAAACTGAAAGGAAAATATGATTCAGATCGGACTAATCAGTCCTCATAGTTCGTTTGACCATGGCATATAGAATCTCCTTTCTCGCATAATACTTAATTTAAGCCAAAAATCAATAATATACATAAAGGTGCAACAATCAAGTCCATTAATTTACAAAATATTTTATAGTTGTATTTTCAGATAAGAATAAATCAGTATTTTCATTCAAACTCGGCCCGATGTTTATAACTGGATTACGGCATGTTCGGATCGAACTGGTTGATCGGGGGTGCACTGATATAGGATGAAGGAATATTAACTGCACCATAGGTGCTGATCGCCATAGGTAAGTTAATCTAATTGCATCCTAGGTGAAAGTTTGTTTAATTAATTATGTGACTGAGAATATTTCGCGCCATGCAATTTATTTATGCCATAATACATTGAGTGTACACTAAAATCGCGTGCGCGGCACCGAAGCTAGGAATCGCTTGTCTCACGATCGAATCTGTGGCATGGCCCTAGTCGAAAGTAGATCGACTCGTCCTACCCACGAACTAGGCTATTTGTTTACTTAGACCTGATATTGTAGGTCGTTAGAGTTATCATGCTTGCTGGCGGACTGTTTATTTACAATTATTTGGAAAAGCTTGTTTTATAGCATGCTTGGAAATTAACAGACATGTATATTATACGACGTCAGGGAAGGCTGTTTGAACTTGCCAGAAAACGGCTCCGCGAGCCTACTGTGTCAAACGTTAAACTGCTTTGAAAATTTCTCCTCATGCAAGTACAAATAGAGCAGTCGTAGGCTTATATCCGCTGTCAATTGCACAATATTTGACCCAAAGTCTTGCTGTTAACCGGTCAATGCCCCAATCAAATACAGCAAAAAATCACAATAGCCTCTGACTGCTTTTTGTTTGTTTTTCTGTGCTGTCTTAACTACAGCGGCTTCGAAGAGCTGTGAATATCCCACGGGGAATGTAATTAAACTGGTATGGAACCTTCAACTTAATAAAACTACCGGATAATTATAGAGCGTTTGTTTAAAAGTGGACATTCAAAAAATGATCTCTGTCGTCAGGGGGTCCCGTTGCTTGGATACGAAATTGAGAAGGCTTCTATGCAAAGGTGTAAAAGGGTTTGTAAGCTATGCATCTTTGTCAAAAGCACGCGAAGTCAATATATCATTAACAATTGGGAACAAATTTCTAGCATCATTAGGTCGAATTCAAAGGCTTAATCGATTGAAAATAATATTTTATATAATTAATAGTGTAAAGAGAAGCAATATAACTATATACTGTATTGGGAGTGTCAAACATTTAATGTTGGCAAAGATAATGGCAGATGTCTCGTGTCAACAATAAAGACTCGACCTCCGGATTAAAGATCTGTCTTTTCAATATTTTAATTCTTTTTGTACATAGAAAAAAAGTCCATAAATCTTTCCTCTTAACACCCACTTGTCTATATTCTTTTGATATAATAGTTTAAGCAAACAGACCCTTTTCGAAACAAAGATTTTTTGTTGGCTAAGTTTAAGAAGTTTAAATCGCATTATACTAAGTGAAATTATCTCAATGTACACCTGAACGGCTGAACGTACGTTTTCCTCGCAAAGACTGTTTCCACTTTGCTTTTTACCGTATTTAAGATTTAGTTTAACTGATAAATTGAATATAGTTTATACACAAATCTACTAATGTAAACATAAAATTAGATCGTTCAACCACGCAATTTGAATAATATATGTATAATCACCTATATGACATCTGTCGGGATAACTGTCCAAGTTGCACGAAGTGCAAATTAGTTTACAGAAATTATGATTACACAAAGTATTGAAAAAAGATAAAATTATAAGCAATCAAACCGTATAAAACGTTTTAATCTTTTGCAATACTTTATTTAAACGGCGTTTTTAATGTTAAAACTGTAATATGCTATAGTTCTATATCTGATTGGAGGCACTAATAGGAGATGACTCTGAACTTGTCTACTATACCACAAGTCTCGAAGGAAAAAGACAAACTGTAATATTTGGAAGCAAACTTGATCGCACACTTTTGTACGTCGCACGAAATAATTTTTGACTATGAGAACTCACGCGGCGAAAGTTATGCGTGTTTGCATTCTGGGAATAACAAAACCAGGCATGCAGGCATGCTTTGTCTTAGTCGAGTGTATTTTGACCACGTTACTACTTTGTTAATTGAACTTCATCTACAAGACTGAGTACTATGCTAATAAAGTGCCTTGATTTACAGCGAGTGCATGAAAATCTTATGTATGATAAATTTTATGCCAAGTAAAACTCAATTTGCTCAATAGATGCAATTATTTTACAGACGTTGTACACCGAATTACAGCTGCATGAGAGTCAGTCTTTCACATTAATCATCTGAATCACAGGAACGGTAAAAATCGTCTATCCAATCTAGTTTATGCGTTAAGTAAACTAACTTGATAAACGTATATTTCAGCTTAATTAAATGTGTCCTAAAATTTGAAGGCATGTATATATGCATTTTCCAAACCATTTCGATGCATAGAATTCCTTTTGCATTTCGCAATAGGCATAACTCTAAGTCATAGATGCTATATATAGTACTAAAATAATGACATACTGAGAGATTGAATTCGGGTAACGTTAGAACTTATATAGCACATTATTTTAGTAGAGCTGTAACGCGTAACACGTGCATTTATAAAATAAAGTTAAGAATTCAAGCAATTTCACTGGTCAAGAGCCATGCTCTATAAGAGGACAGACGCACGGAAGACGACACAGATGATTTTAACGAATTTGTCTTATTTTTCAGCCAATCACACTTTGCCACGTATCTTGTATGCGTGATATCTGCAAAATTTTTAATATGGCAATTTTACAAGTGTTGCATGGGGGAACTATTTGACTGTTTAATTTCGGAATTTTTTCAATTTCATTATATAAAATAAACTATAGATAACATTGAAACGTTGCCCGCCCTGTTCAGTTATAGATAACTCGTCCCGGCGACTCGTGGCCACTTTGTTTTGTTCTTATCAATGTTTTGTTCAAATGAAGAACGGCATACCGTGTATTTATAACTGAACAGACAATGTTTCAATGTTATCTATTTGTTAAATTACTGATATATAGGATGCCGGAATTCGGGTTCGCATGTTAGACTGAACTGTATATAAAGTTTTATAAACAGGCTTTACAAACCCGTCAGGAAACTCTGCAGTCAAGACAGTACCACCATATGCAGGATGAAACTTCTGGAATTCGAGAAATATCTGTTACCGAATGTCAATACGCGAAAACTACCATACCATACTAACTAAATAAGCCTAGTAGACAACAATTTTTCTCGGACTGATGGGGTAATATTAGTATTTGGGCTTGGAAATAATACAAAACTTCTGCAACTGACCAGTTAACGTTATTCTTATGACTTCCGTCGCAAAAGCTATGTTATAGCCATGAACCTTGACTGACTGGATTTGACTGATTTATGTATTCACTGTACTGATGTCGGCACGCCGGCCGTACAAATCGCAGGTCCGAGTAACATTAAAAAAGAGGTTCTCGTCTTCAGTCTAAGTCGTCAAAATTGCAACAGCATTTAAAAGACCAATATTGAGAGATTTACCGAGTTGTTAAAAAAAATTACCAAATAGAGGTTAACTACATCCAGTTATCCATGCATTTCGCGGTCAGATCTTATCCGAGTTCACTGACTATCAAATATTTGTAATAACACATTTCTTGATGATGATTTTTTACTTAGATTCCCGTAGATTCCCCTGTTATTTCAGATATCACTTTAAGTTAAATTATTTAAAGACAAAACGTAAAACCACTGCTCTACCAGGTTGCTGCGTGTGGGAGTCGGACGGATGCTAAAAAGCATTACAATTTGGCTAAGTTTATACGTCGTATTTAAGCTAAGTTTAATATACGTCGTTTATCGTTTCTTCGTTTATACGTCGTTTATCGTTTATTATCGTCTCATTATCTGTTAATGATCTCGAGAAATGCCTTATAGCTGAGAGCTCTACTGCAAGCCGCTGCAAACATGCAGGTTGAGCATTCACCTAGCCTATACTGAACTAATAATGCCCTCTGCCGATCGGTAGGGATGGAGACCCGACGTAGCGAACGTACTTGGCGATGCGATCGAGCTAGGCTCCGTTCATTATAATGTGAACATCCTACGTCGGCTTGTCCTCGAGCTTGACGAACACATCACATATTGAACCTAAACAGCACCCTCTCCATCCCGTGATCACACAGTCACACGCGAATCACTAGAATCGAGAATTAAAAGGCAAAATCCGAGGTTTAACCTATGTGTATATATATGAAAAGGGAAAAAAGCCAATTGGCTCGCTCTATATAAGGGCGTGCATATAGCGCACTACCAAGTGACTTCGACATCGTGTATATAGATTTATATACAAAGTGTCTGAGAAATTTGAAAATACATAAGTAGCGCCGAAAAAACACCAAACTAACAGGCTTTCCATAATCATTTTGATGTCACTTCTTTTCGCCAGGATAACGAGACTGTAATATATGACCAAAAATGGAGGCCCAAGGTTATTCATGCACGAATAACTATATCTTATCGAAGTATTGTTAAAATATAAATCGGTTTGAAGGTTTAACATGCACGTATCATAGATTTACTCAATTAGGTATTGAAGACTTTTAGACAGAAGACAGTTTGAAGAAAGAGTGGAGACTTTTATTATATATTTGAAATCTGTGTGTTTCAGTACATATTGATTGATGAAAATTCGGCTGGCTAATTTTTGAAGTATAGATCATGGAACACATGAAATGATACATATGCGGCGCGATGACAATTAGGAATAAGGCCAAGGTCAGCGGTTAAAATTATCAAAAGAATCGTGTTAAATAGGCTTATGGGATATATTTGCAGCAGACATATCTATCCAAATGAAACAACATTACCATTTAAAACCCTTAAGAGCTGCTAAGCTTTCGGCTCACCGAATCTTTATACGCCTGCATTCGAAAAGCTCACTCACATTCACGCCATTGAGTGTGACATATAAATTTTGTTAATGCCTGGTCAATGAGAAAGTTTGGAACGATTTAGGGTAAAACACTGAAAATCAAGCCCCTATTCGACTGGAAATATTGGTATAGGAAGTTATGAGTTTAAGATCTCCCACTCAATGAGTTTGAGTGTGACTGTGTGAGTGAGCTTTTAGAATACAAGCGTTATTACTCTGGACTGATTTACATTTTTGGATTGTTTGTCAAACTATATTTCGACACACGCGCTGCTAGATACACAACTTGATATGGCACATATCGTTCTAAAACAGCATGCATGGCAAGCGTAACGCTCAATCAGTGAACGTATCAATATCCCACATTTGAAGAGTATTCATGCAGGACATATTTGCATTCCTGCCCCGATGCTTGATTGAAAGCAATGCCAATGGCGATCGCGTTCGCGTGCTAACATATAGCATTAGCTCTGAACCAAAGCAGAGCGAGCACTCTATCGATATGAAAAAATCTGGATGATGCATACCGCCAAGCCAGAGCTAGTCATATTTTTTTATAGTTTCATGATTTACATCAATGACACCTTCAGATTAATCTTCAAATGGAATCTTGACAATTAAGATGGCGACGTGTGCCAAACTTTGACTTCTTAACAACTGGAATGCGCAATCCAGGTTTACAAATATCAAAGGAGGCTATTGAGCACAGCCGCAATTCTTTTTAGCTACGAGTGCCTCCACTGGGTGTCCCAAAAACCTGCATAAATGACTATATATGTATTCGCTGAAATTATACCATTCACTGTATAATGTGATTAGCTACTATTCAAAACAGTTGAACAATTTGACATCTCTAGGATTCACACATTTCTACAGACTTATAGTATAAGGCAAAACCAAATAAACAAAACAAACGCAACGTAGGAATCTCTTTGTTCCAATTCCGCTTTTAGGACACCCCGCGTACATTTCCTGAATGAGAGGTCATCTATACTTTCTAGAAATGCAACATTTTTGAAAATCCATTACTTTTTTTTGGCTTTAACAAGTATGTAAGGTTATGCGACAATTTGAATGCAATCCATAGTATACCAGGGCATATAAGTGATATTTTCCATATCTGATAACTCCAATAGGGTGACAGGACCTTTAATTTCTTTCAATAACACTATGCAATACTATAGGAACGCTGTCGCATCCACTTCAAGCTGTCCTTTTTCAAGTATCGTTTATCACTGTCATGCAGCTACCGCGTACACAGGGCGAAAAATTTATTTTCAATGGGATTCCGTTCAAACATTCAGATTATATTATGCTTGCTTAGTACCTTTTACATTTTTTAAATTCATTGCCATCACAGATGAATTTTAATCGTTCCACTTCTCAGATCACAAATACTTTCACAAAATTAAGCCGTCCACGAATGGGTAGTAGGCCTATTATGGTGAACGGAAGAATTATTTTCGGCATATACCATTGGATAACTCGCCTTATTTTGAAAAGAATGGGCTTACGTTATTTAATAGTTATATAGTTAATAAGAAAATACTAGCTGCATGGATAGCACAGCTTACACGTAATATAAATTTGAAAGAAGTTCAAATGTGATTATCTTATACACAGAGAAAATTCACGCGGGGAGCAATAGAGCATTCCATATTTGAACTAGCTAAGTTATAAGCCAATTATAGCCGTGGAGGAGGCAATCGAGACAGCATTTTTTCTCTGCTTTTAATTTCTGGGATTACCTTATAGGGCCAATTCAATTTCTTGTATATAAACCTTCGCGTCATCGGTGCATATGCAAGAAATCATAGTACTCGAAGAGGGCAATTTATAGCCATGAAAGCACTTACAATGAACGAGCCAAACAAATTCAAAGCCAATTAGCTGAAATGGGATAATCTCAGTGTTCCTCTAGTTTATCTTTTGCATGCGTACGCTGAAAATAGCCTGAGGGTCGAGGACATATTTTCATGTTGCCTTCTGGAAATAACTGCGTCACAAGTGTGCAAGAAATCCTTAAAAGTGCAATTTAGTCATAAAAAACATTGACAGACGCATGAATTTGTGAATGGAAGATTTCCACTTAATCTAATCAAAGCCGGGTGAAAGAATTCGTTACCTCCAGCATGCATTAGAGATATAATAAATCAGTTGGGATCGATAAACGAGCACCTTTAGCGTTAGTGTGAAATTAAAAAATAAGTCCAAGGTTATGGACTCCAAGGTTATGATTTCCTAAATCGTCCAGAATGAATATTTACTTGTTTTTTTAACAGCTATAGAGAGCTCTCAACATGATAGCGACCTCCAGGGAGTTTCATTAAAATGTAGTACAACAAATGACTAAAAATTTTAAGTTTGGTATACGGATGAAATTTGGACCATTTATTGGTATACGTAGTCCAAATTTTATCATTCTCAATTTTATCCGTACCAAAACTGAAATTGAACATAGTGTAAGCCGATAAATTTGGTACAGATGAAATTTGATTAACTATTTGGCTGTTAAATTTCATCTGTACCATTTTTCCGGTACCGTACTAAAAATTGTGCGCGGTGTAAATGGGGCTTAGAATAACTAGAAAAACATCTCGATGTTTCTATCGTTGCCTTCGTCATCGGGAATTTCAGTTATGTCTATTTTAGGTGGTTGTTCAACCGTTCACCGCACGGAATGAGGACTATACATTTTTTATTTGCAAAATTTTTGACATGACACGCACAACAGACTTTATTAACTACCTATTATTCACTCCACACCTTAGTAATGATAACCAAAAGTCTTATTGTGTAACATGCAGGTACAATTATTACTATATAGGTATTTAAACTTATCATCAAAATTACTTCAACAACAAACAAGTTTGGGAAAAAATGAAAAACATGACCTTAACCCGCACTTGGCCAACTAAAAAAAGCAAACACGGAAACGAGGCCAAAGGCTCATTGAATTACCAACGATGATTCTCAAAAATGCCAAAAATGTTTTCCTTAGTATCATCTCTGTCGAAATTGCATCAATATTGCAATAATCCACCATAATTCTAGTGAGTAGTCTCCTTGGTTAAGTATATAGGTGCTCAGTACAATACTAACAGTATATAAGAATGACTTGAGGGCATTCGTCTGGTGTTGAAGAATATAAGCTGAACATTTCTATAGAATAGACCAATCAAAACTGTAGAACAGTAAAGGTTCTTGTATTCCATGTTTGTACATCTAATACTCTCACGATACAAGGCTACAAAAAAATAAACTTTTCAAAGGGAAACGTCAACTTTTTAAACCGAAAAATCGATGTTATGATCAAGATATTTGTTGGAGACAGCTATAATCATCAACGTAATTAAGCTCATCCTCATTATATTACAAATGTTCATACCGAAAGTTAAGGGTTCGCCAAGATTAGCATATTTTCACATATGTTTGTTTAGTTTGTTGCTTTTGGTGATCGAACGGGAGCGATATTAGCCTCGATACGAGAAATAGACAGGAAGCAAAACAAGTGAACTGAAATGGCATTATATATCACATGACAAGGTTAACAAGGCTAAGTCGCCCTAACCACAGGGGGCCCGTTTAACAAGCCGTTGAAATATATTGCATGAGCTCACATATTCACTTAATAATGTACGAAAATCACTTAGCAAAACCCCACTTGTTTCAGGGATTTATTTTAGCGTTTCATCACAAAACATTAATCAGGCTTTTTGGAGGAAAAACCGCGGCAAACTTTCTAATAAAAGGTGTTAAAGTGTGTGGGCCTCCGTGAGCCAATCATATCCATCGCATTGCTTATCGCATCGAAATGTGTGGCATATGATTAGAAACGGTATACACATACTATATAAACGTAGCTGCTCGCAGACCAGGAACAAAACTTATAAAGATGAAAGCACATTTGGTCGGCAAATATGTGCCTGTTTACCACGAAACAAGTTATCCCTTCATTCCCGCGATCCGGGAACAGTACGAAAACAGCGCGAGTGCAACGACATCTAACTCGTTGACTTCGCTGGTCAATCTGATAACCGAATTGGAGTTTCATCGGACAGCGTGGACAAAAGAGAACCCATTTTTGGGAGTCTGTGAAAGCGCGAACGCTACGGGAAGCGAGGTGCCGAGGGAGACATCCCCAACACCAACCGATTACGGAGAAAATATCACAAGAAATTCGTGTCGTTTTCAGAAGCCTAGAACAGGTATTTATTCTCGACTGAAAGTTTCCGAAATGAGGAAAAGACTTGATTTACAAAGCTAACCAACTTCAAAATGACTCGATTCTTCAGGTCGAAGAGCACTTTTCTTTTGTAGAGAAAAGGGACAAGGAAATACTCAAACTACAATTAGAATATGAGGGTTTATGGATAAGTAGCGACACCTTCCTTTGCGATAAGTGGGAGATGTGCTTGTCTCCTGACACTATTTTAAACGATATCCATCGACTAAAACGTAATATTTGAAAACAGCGGCACTGTAATACTTTACAGCTTCATTTCAATAATATTAGGTGGCGTTGTGCAAGTCAGGAAGAATTCAGACTTGCACGGAGCGTTGACGTTCTATCTATCGCAGGGTATGTTAATGAGGTAACTGCCTGTACGCGTTTGCCTGGAATTCCTTGGTATAATCGCGCGTAGAATATTTTCATTGGATTAAACTTTTTCTTAGATTCCATGTCGCGAGAGTGAAATTTTTTTAAATATATTGTCTGATGAAGCAAGCGCACTATCTTTGCATCCTGAACTATTTCTGGCGCCCTTTGATTTATGATTTCCTGTCAGGGCGTTAATGTAGAAACTACCGTTCCCCGCTCGGACCTTAATATCTGGTCTGTACAATTAAAATCATCAAATTGTACTTTGAAGGCATGTTTCTTAATCTTCAACAACCATTCAAGTTATTTGTGAACGCGTGGTGCTCTGTAGCAACGCTGTGCCACGCTAATGCAACATTGAAAATTTTCCACGTCGTTGGACGTCTGTGTATGAACGTTCGGTTTAGACAAAGAAAAACAATTCTTGATAAATGATTTCTCTAAAAGTGCATATAAGGTTACATTCAATGTTTCGAGATAGCATTAGAGGAAAGTTCTTTATAATGAAAAGGTCTTGGAACGGTTTGTATGTAATGCCTTATGATTTCAGCCATAAATGCAAGCTCTACTACAGCGGGCACTGTATATATCGTATATTAAACCCACAAAGCCAATTGGGGAAAGCAAAACTGATTTATTTAGCTATTCTAGAGGGATGGAGAAATTACTTAGAAAAACCGTTTATAAAAATGCGTAGGTAAAACGAACATGTTATTCAGAGCCTTGCGGGATCGCTCAGCGTGAAAGAAGTCTTGAGAAAGCGCTTGCAACCGACATGGCAATATCACAAGAAATTCAGCTAAAGATGTCTTTAGATAACGTGTGCCTAGACGAAGAGCTTTCACTAGATCGGTATCGAAGTTCTTGTATTTTTAAGTAGATGCATGGATGCTGTATGTAATCTCTCGAGAAATATACAGCGGCGAGACTTGCATGCAATCTTGCAATAACGCGTATAGTCGAAGTAAATGAAGACATTGCTGCCACCATGCAATATGTATATGCAGACAATATGTATAGGCGCACCTCGCAGGATTATCTGTTTAAAGAGAGAAACTCGTATTATCACGGAGGAAGAGCGCATTTTAAAAGCAAAATTCTCACCATTCTCTGTAGAATTCGCACGTAATTAGAAAACTAGGTAACCTTGTTCCGGCTATAAGAGTCAATTCAATACTTCTTTCAACGAAAGTTTGAAGAAGTGGATAAAATTGAGCAAAGGTAGTTCTGTGCGAAGGAACAATAAACACTTATCGTATTTACGTATGTGCAGTGACTGTCTTCCGCAGACAAGCAGCTGAAAACTTTGATTGTTATTTTTGTTTCCCAGCCAGTCAAGCACTAAAAAATATATGCATCTTCAAGAGATGATGGTTTGTTTTGAGTATTCTAATAAAGACTTTTGAATCGAATTGGATTGAATTGAATTTTTCATTTTTTATTGAGATGCGAACTTTATAGTTACGAAAACGGACCTTTCGACTTCACAAAATTGTTCCTTATACAAATATGGCAGCCTAAGATAACATGAAGTACAGTGATCTGTCATATTTCGTTGTGATGATATTCTCGCAACAATTGCGATCGTATATGTACTCAGTGCAGGGGAAAATACCCGAAATTTGACGAGCCACGGAACGCTGATTTGAATCATTGGCATGTTTCGAAAGACAAGTTTACAGAGAAGCTTACAGAAACATAATAGCCAAATATAAAATTTGAAATAGGGTAAAACATCTGCATGGGTCCGGTTGTATAATATTGTACTATACATTTATCTAAACGTCCCGCGTCTAAACGTTTCGAGAATCTGGCCTCAATTTTGATTGGTTAACTTTCGTCCTACAGTCAACTCCAAAACAATCATTACCCATGCAACCAGTCCCTGCACGGCGATAAGATTTCTCTATTTATCGTCATTTAAAGTCTGCGTACTGTTTTCGTTTCAGGAGAGATCATTCCTTGGAGCGTTAACCAGCCATACAAGAAACGAACACGTGAGATCTACGATCGTCAACAGACCCTAGAGTTGGAGAAAGAGTTCCATTACACTCGTTACCTGACAAAAGAAAGGAGGGCAGAGCTGGCAAATTCCCTTATGTTGTCCGAAAGACAGATTAAAATTTGGTTCCAAAATCGCCGTATGAAATGGAAAAAGGAGAAGAAGCCGATTATTCCAAATAAACGACGAGCTCGCTTTGGCAGAAAAAAGGTTGCGCAAACGTTTGAGACGAGCAGGTTTAATAATTGTTGAAATTCATGTAAATACAGTACAGCTATAATTTTGTTACATACGCTAGAAGCAGCAGTCCCAAGGCCTGAAAGACGTTTTGAAATAGTAATAAACTGAATTAATTAGAAGTTTAGTGCAGTTGTAACAGAATTTGCAATAAGTGTCGTTTTTGCATTATTTATTGAATCTCCTTACCTAGGTTTTTGTTGGCCGCCCTGTTGAAATTTCGAACGAGGTAGGTGCATGGACGTGGTTCGTATTCAGCCTCGAACAATACGTTCGCTGATAAGCATGTAAACAAAAAACCCCCTCATCTCAAACGTATTGAATGGCTTATATTGGCTGGCTTGCATGCAACCGATGTTGAAGATGGATAAAAATAACTGAAAACGAGTTTACATCATAATTCTCGGAAATCAAAATAGCTATAGCGAATTATACAAATTAAATAGTAGGTGATTATCAATCATGCAACACAGTGTGAAAATCTGTTATACCTGAACAATATTGTAAAAGCCAGTTGTGATCTGCGATAAAAGCCTAACACGATTATACTGATATGACAGAAATACCCATGCAAAGTTGATTTCAGCTGTGAAAAACTAGTATATCAGTGAATGCTTTAATGCTTTAAAAATATTATATTTACTGTATACTTCTCTTTCGCGTAACACTTTCAATTAATGTAGTGATCTATGTATAATTTCAGTTATTTTGTAACATGGCCGGTTTAAAGACCAGCAACACGTTACATTATGTATACATTAACAGTATAAGTTAATAAGAAATAGGATCTCTGGGCAAAGAAGATTAGGGACCCATTGATCATACAACTCCTATCATGTTGCCGTTTTTTATGATTTAGCGTAAAATATTGTGGGCTACGTTAAGAACATGTGTCAGCTCTGTATTATAGAAATGGGAATTGAAAAGAGAAATATATGCCAGGCTATACTGCTTTGGTAAAATTATTTTAGGCTTAAAAATATAAAAATTTTGGAATTGCAGTAATTGATGATTAATGTTGGTTTATATTATTATTTTATTTGGGAAACCAAATTACGAACCGTTGGAAGAATTATGGGTACATAACTTGGATATAGTTTTGCGCTTTCTTCTTTTTAATGAACATAAATTAAATGTTAGTGGTGTTTTAAAACGAAGGCAGAAACATACTATTTGGGAGCTTTAGCAGTGAGTACGAGTACAATATACGACATTTTCGCGACAAGCTCGGTGCTTGCCTACGCCATCGCTGCTAAAGCTCCCATTTATTATTAAAATCAGAACGGTATCTATTATTAAAAAGATGCAAAAATAAATATATAAAACAAGTATAGCTTATATAATAATTATATAAGGCAAGTATAGCTTCGACCCTATCTACCCCCTGACGTACTACTTTTTGAAAAATTATCACTTTTTCAGAGCAACTGTGTCGTTATGACAATGTTTTGGATCCATCTTGATCACGAAAAATATACTGGTACGCAAAGGTAAAAATGCTCGTTTTATAACACTAGACATGGTTCGTGCTGACTTAATATTGAAAGTCCATGTTTTCCTTTGCCCTGATTGGGGCATGCATGGTCACTGTTATACATCTTGTTGTGTACCTGTTATATGTCTTGCAACATGAATGGGCAGTATATATGCTCTATAATCAGTTTAACTTTTTTATGCACTACATGGGTACAAAATCGTCACAATTAAGTTAAGTGCCATTTGTCAATCCTGCAGTGTGGGTATAATATCACAATATAAGGCATAAGTATGCTTTTTGCCCGACTTAAGCTCAATTCAGTCTGAACCGATGAAGAGGGTTAAATGAATGAGCTTCAGAAAAGTGGAAAACATATGGCTGGCCACGAATCTGAATCATGACTATCTTTTATAGCATATAAATCATAAAACAAAGCAAATCCCGGATTGAAAAAAATAATATGCTGATTACCTCACCTAAACTTGCATGGCTGGGTAGCTAGATTAGGCAATCTTGACTGTTCGTTGAAATTAAGTTTTACGTGTTCGAAGTTTTGTCATTCAATAACAACACTTGCTTCACTTTGTTGACTTATACGGCTGGATAAAAATTGACACTATAGTCTATATGTAAGAACGGGCAAATGAAATTGAATACGCCTTTTCATGCGTTGTACGCTAATAATGACTGATATGTACAAGTTGTATACTTGTATATATTAATTACGTAAAGATTATCAATTGATGTTATACAACTGCGTCGGTGTGGTGTTGGGAATAGCAGAGTCAGAGATCCTACGCCAAACACCACATTTCGCACCCTCTTAACACTTAGCCAGTCAGCCAGTCTTAGAGAAACATCACCTACTTCGATACTTCGATAGCGCTCACTCAAGCATTCGCGCCAGCCTTCGTGTCTACATGTATGCATGGAACCAGAAAACCGCCTTGATTATGCGCATTTTCCTCTGCTACTCGTTCGCTCACGGCTTGGCGACAAACCTGTGTGAAAACGAAAAGGACGTGACAATTTTTTCCTCGCTCTTTCACGATTATTCCAGACTTAAAAATAGCACATAGTCATGGTTCCAAACGTCTCGCGCAATTTTTGCTTGTCACCGCGATTTGGAACGGAACTGAACAATATACTTATGACAGCATTGTATTGTATCTGGTTTTGCTAATCCTAAATATTGGTGATTTGTACGCAATGATTTTATTGTCAATAATGAGTTTTAGACAACATCAAACATAGTCTTGCCAAGAAATTCCTGAAGTATTTCGGAAGCTGCATCCAAGCACAACTAGTCAACAAATTTGAAATTTGTATAGATTGGTGGTTCCTTTACGAAACAGAAACGAAGAAGTTGCCTTTATTTGGCTCGGTTTTCATCTCTATTTCGGATTTTTCTCATTCCTCGCCAAGCCATTCATTACATTACATATATAGAATAAAATTCTGTGCTACACTTGAGAGTCATAAGCGAACCGTTGACCTATAAACGTGATAACTGACTAGCGAATCAATAGCGGTTACTTTAAACGCCCCTTTTGAATTTTTAACTAATTAGTTTAAGAGCACAAATCTAAAGAAACAAGTGGAAGACGTAACCGAGTTGCAACTCCAATATAACTGCTCGAAAACTACAAGCAACGCAATATTTTTTTGCGCAACGGCTAAAGTGCCCCCATGAAATTTTGCATAACTTCCGTCGAGTCTGAATTGAAACAAGCATATGTACACATTAGGAAATAAAACATCATCGTACTATCAATTGTGAGATCGCAGAGAAAACATCACTAATGCTTCAATAGCAAACAGAGTTGCATTGTATCACAATTTTGTGGGTTCTTTAACTCTAATCGGTATCTTGACCAATGACTTGTCTCAAAATCACCACAGTTGTATAATATACGAATCGGTAGAGGGGACATCCGTCATGGGGCCCATCATTTCCAGCGTAAAACAGTGCCTAAAAACTCTATTACCCGGCAAATATACCTCTTAAATGACTTAATCCATCCTTCATGAAAAACTTTTACTCCACAACATGCATTTCGCAAGGCAGTGTGTAGGTGTAACGAACACTGATATAGAAAGGTTTGAATCGTTGTTCCTGCTATACAGTGTTTTGCGCACTAAGTTTCCTACTGCCGATTGCGCTGGTTTTATTTTACAGGTCAATCGAACGACTACCAGTAAATCATTTAAAAACACTACAGATGTTGGGATACGTGTCAGCAAGAGCTAATTCAGGTTTTCCTTCCAAAATCTGGAACGCATTTCTCATGCAATCGTGGGCAAAACAAGCATCATAAATCACGGCTTCGGTGACATACCGCGCAGTTCCTGACACAACTGTCACAAATGAGATATTACCCTCTTTTTCGCAACTAAAATACACGCTCTTCGGTGCCACAGAACCTTGCACTTGCTGCATTCCACTGTCAAATTTGATTTATGCCTCTCCGCTGCGAAACGAAATTCATTTTTGTACATTATTGATTTCAGACTTGCAGTCTGTGCCACGGCCACGCAACACACGACCGAAAACAAATTTCACATAATTTTACCAAATTTAGACCGATGCTGACATTTCGGTTCGAATATTCTGGACTAAATAACCGACGAAATTCACGCCATAAACTAGCATCAGCGCATGAAGCATAGAGGCATAAAGAGAATATTTGTTTTTCTCTTGTAAAGCAATCGGAGATGACGTAATTGATTGGTCTCTGGGTGGACACTGTTTCAAAGTTTACAAATGCGCTGCTCTAAACCTGACTGAAACTATGAAAACATGTATAAACTAACACCGACCAATAAATCTATTGTTACGCGCACACGATGTTTATGATACGTACAAAAGGTGTGGCCGAGCATTTTAAGTCGTCCTTGGCGCCACAAGTCGCGTTGACGCTAACAGTTTTTACACGTTTTCCACACTTATTGACCCGCGCAAAGACAAGCTTCTTAATACATCTAGGTTCGTATTAAATAAAACAGAGAATCTAATCCTAACAGAATGATTTCAGTTCCTTCCCGCAATGTGTACTATTTACAGAGAAATGTACATTCATTATGCGCTTTTAATTTCGAAGTTTCTTCGTGAATGAAAAGAGAACAAGAGTTTCAATGGTTTAAATATTGATCGTCTGGGTCGGTTTGTAAATCCAGCGTTTCTAAGATGCGGTCTTGTCGAGAATTATGTTTGTCTCAGACAACAACGATAAATCTATAAGCTGGAAAATAGATCTGTCAATGTAGATTACCTCAAATGGCGGACAACAAAATAGGGCCATAAATCTTCCGATCTTGCCGGAGACGCAGGAATTCCCTTCGCCGATTGGTGCAAAACAGTCACGTGGCCCGTGGTCGCAATTAGCGCACAGTTTCCACTGACAGTTTGGGTTTCATGTGTCGTGGTCGAAATAAATCATAAAACGCCAACGATGAGCAACGTTAACTTTTTCACTAATTCATATTTTCATTCCAATGTCGAGCCGGTGCATTTGTCACAGCGTGTCGACACTGCTTTAACAAGGAACGCATGTAGCTCAATTCAGCCGATAATTCCAGTTTTGCCCTCCAATGGTTACGGCGTCCCGAACCTGTGGTCGTTTTCGAACGCCGTTGACGCGACGGCGCAAGCGAGTTATGGAACGGCGAGTTCGGAGAACAGAGGGAACGAAGAAGCCACGGTCATGGCGAACCCCCAGCCGGTTTACGCTTGGATGAAGAAGAAACGAGGGAAGGCTGGAAAAGACGAGGAAAACAACGAAGGTAGGCACACGAAGGAGGGCCGCTCCCAACACGAAGTTGTTTTCGAAACCTTTCACGAGAGCTAAGGGCGATTTCTCGCATAAATTTTGGCATAACAACGTCGCTAGCTTGTTATATTTGTCTTACATAATGTTTGTTATGAAAAATGTAAAACCATAAGCATCTAAGTGTGAGAAAAAGTCATTAACACACGCGATACGTAAAATAATTCGACAGGAGTAAACCGAATGACTAGCATTAGTCAGCAGATACAGTCCGCACAGACAAGGCTTTCAAAGGAAAGATTCAGTGTTTGCTTGCTTTTTGTTGATTTGAATATGTATGAGAATCGTTTCTCGAGAGTATATTATTTGTTTTAGTCCTAAAACTAACGCCAAAAAGCGAGAAATTCGCATGCACTTTGAGTGCCACCATTGTTCTCATTTCCTTTATGTGGGTTTGTGAGAAGAACATCAACACTGTCCTTTCCCGGTGCGCCATTTTGTTACCAGTCGACGATAATTCATATTTGAATTTCGATTGTTTCTTTCGAGTCTATAAGGTGCCTTTTTTTTAGGCGGGCGCGCATGAACAATGATGATTCGCTAAGACAGATTTGTCATTAGGCAATTTCCTTGGATGGTGTAAAAATTCACCCGTTCATGACACATTGCCGTTGTTCAATTACCTGTGGCGCGTTTAGCAAGTTCGCTAATCCATCACACAAAGCAATGAAGATGTATTGATCCGGACAAATTGTCTATTTGTCTTTGTTAAGCCAATCTGAAACCGAAGCGCTGTAAAGTAAACTACAAAAATCACTAGTGTCCATGCATATCGCTTTTATTAGCACGATCAAATTATAGAACACCTATAAATATTGAAATGTTAAAAACGATTTGTGTAAAATTGCTGGCCTATACATGATAAATAACTTACTATGCCATTGAAAATCGAAGCGAAGCCCTTCCGTTTCATCTTCTTAAAAGTTAATCGCAGCAAATCGATATACTTATATATGCTATATGTGTTGGAAACATTCCAGTTCGGACAGTAAATCTTTCCCACTGTAAGTGTATACACGCCGGCCCATAGGTTGTGGTAAAAATTTTTAGTTAGTTAATACTGTACGCAAGCATCGTAAAAAAACTACGAGTTTACAGGATATAGTGATCCTTATGAATGCACAAAATAGCGGAAGGATTTTGGCAAGATATGGGGTGATATATTTTGTATTGTATATGTGCATGAAAGTGCATAGGAATTGTTTTTTCGGATAAATGAGCTTGTTGGCCCAGTCTTTACTAAGCGTGTTACTAAAAGCAAGAACAGAACAAAATGAAAATTTAAAATAATCCCGTGTTTTCCTAGATCCTAAATACCAGAATGTCGCTTTAATATTGCTAAATGTTGCTTTAATATAGCATACAAAATAATTCTTGTTTTTCCTAGAGATTCAAAATATTAGAATGTCGCATGCTTATAGCATGCATGCTCTGCTAGCGCTGTATAGGACTCTGTTTCATATAAAAATGAAAATCCATTGGGCTTAATTAAATTCCTTTTCATTTCATTTTATTATCAATATTCAGTTAACCTTAATCGAGGAACATATTTGTAATCATTTTCAATTCAAGGTATACCATGAGACCAGTTTTAGATCTAGCAAGATTGCATGTGAGGTTGTCGGAAATTTCTCATCTTTGTTGTGTATTGTATTCAACTTTATACCATTTAAGTGCCCGTCGAACTAAACATGCAAGTTATAGCTAGTACAACTATGCAAGCTAATATATAGGGAAACATTGTTCAGGATTATGCATGTGGGAAGTCATCAGTATAGATGTTTACTTTGTGGATTAACCCTTGTATTGCTCTCTATTAACTATTCATGATCAATTTCGTAGGGGACATATATTGCCTGATTATTATAAACAACGTAGCTAATCGTTGCTTATTTCAATGATTGATTTAAGACAAATAAAGCATAATTATTTACAGAATTTGCATTTTTGTAACGACAATCTTTCTAAATGCAGAGTTTGACTTCGAAAGCAAGTCAGAACTCAATTCTAACTTTCACACAACATTTATCCAGAATATTTGATGACCATTTTATTTCTTTCATAGGGTAATACTGTTCCATGAAAATGCATATAATATGTAGTAGATGCATATGGTTGAGTAAAAAGATTAAGTAGACAACTGCACGTTTTATCAGTCCGTACACAAAAACCTTCCTCTGATAACAGTAGCCCTTTTAGGTTAACGTTTGCTATATATAATCGTTCCAAGAGGCCCTGGTATTTTATAAAATAATACAACTCGAGAAACACCCAGCGAAATTATTTAATTTTAGAAAAGTGCGAATATAGCCTATATATGACTCGGCCAAGTACTACCAGCATTACTGGGTTGCCTGACTGAGACATAAAAACATGGTCTCCCGTGCCAAAGTCAAAGACCGCGTGCGTGTTAGACTTGTTAGGCTTCGCTTTCGGCCTCTCAGTAAATATAGGCTCATATATATCTATAATACTAATCGGGGAAAATTTCACTAGGAGAAATTTTTGCATAAGAAATTCATGGGGTAACATGGATTCATAAACAACTCAGAGAAAATTTCGTTACCGGAAACAGTACTTCCAGATAAACGTAAACCAAGCGATGAATTTGTTCAGTGTTGATCGAAACCAGAGCCTGCTGCATGTCTTTCAAATTTTTCAACTGTAGGCTTTGTCTCTATAATAATACTTTAACTTTACCATGTAGTGAAAACTTATGTCATCCCTGGAATTTGCATTGCATGTATGTATGTATGTAAATATACTCGAATTGCAAAGTGATTTATGCATGCATGTACAACCTAGAGTATGTTTATATTTTACAAAAGTTCATTAATTTAATGTTTTATGATATAGACCCAGAACCGTACGTGATTCGTGTCGTAAAAAGGCTTACACCAACGCCCAGATCCTGGAACTCGAAAAGGAGTTTCATTTTAACCGTATCTCTGTCGACCAAGACGAATCGAGATTGCGCACTCGTTGAAGTTATCAGAACGCCAGGTCAAAGTTTGGTTCCAGAACCGACGAATGAAACTGAAGAAGGATGAAAGAGTGAAGGAAGAGAAGGCAGGAATTAAAGAAAACGATTCTTTTATTTACCCTCAAGGACTCGCGGGCCACATGAACGATAACGGAGCTTCGTTGTTGAAGCAGTTCACGAACTTTCAGCCGTTCACAGTTGGCTTTTCTTA